ATAATCTAATGTTTTTGTCGATAGAATTCTCCAGCGATTTAACCATATTTAGCATAATTTTAATTTTCTTCAATTGTTTGGCAAAATGTGTGGCAAAATGCAAAACAGTCTTTAGTATACTTTTTACACATTTTCAAAAATAAATTTTCAAAACTTAGCGTAAAATTAATTGATTTGCAAAATATAACTAAAATTACACTTTATTTATAACAAAATGAAAATTTATTTCATTAATACAATGCAATCAATGTTTACTTCATTATTATTTCTATGGCTATACAAGTATTGCATAACATTATTATGACATGCGTTATACAAAAATGATTTAACAAGTTTTACCATGACAATATTTATAGAGATATAAATGCAATGCTCACTTATTTATACAATATAAAATATTAAAATTAAGCAAAGTTGCATGTTAACAAATAGCTAGATTTTATTTAAATTGGAACCTGGTACAATGATGTTTACTATTCAACGATCCAACCCCTGTATAATTGTTTAGACATAAATCATAAAGTTTTGGCAGATATCCACTGATTTTTATATTTATGGGCAAATCTAGCGTTAAGTGCGTTAAACATTTGCATTCACTCAACGAATCGCTCGTTAGTGTAAACTTTTTGGGAAAATTTCCGGTAATTTGCAATCGTTTCAAATGTTTAAAGCATTCATTAATTGTTTGTATTGTTCGCCGAAATTGGTCCACAGTTTGGTTGTGATGTAAACCAATGCAAAGACTCTTCAATCGCCGACATTTGAGACCAATTTGTTTCAATCCATTCAAAAACGTCTCATTCATGGACTGATTGGACAATAAGATCTTCAGATCATTTAATTTGTCCACTTGTGACAAACCATTCATTAGTACCGCCATTGAATTATCATCACATCTCACGTCAATCCATGAGATGTTCAGTGAATTTACGGTATTTTTATAATTTTCAACAAATATACCAAAACTATTGTTCAACTCTTTGCTATAATCTAATGTTAATTTGCGGACAGATTTAAATAATACTTGGCTTTTCATACATAATAGCGGGCAAAACAAGTCGGTAAAATAAAATTTATAAAATCTGTAATGGGTACATGGGTTAGCTCGTTTTGATCATATTTTTACATAATTAAGATCAATTTGTTATATTATAACGTTAAACTAAACCAAATACACTGATAATTTTCATATGACCATTTGACCTCGGGTTTAGCCGCAGTGACCACTTTTAGCAAGAATTTTAACTTATCCAATATTAACATACACACAAACAATCTATAATGTTCCGTAGGGGAAACGCGAATAACTTTTGACTGGGTAACTCAATCATATTGATGTCAATTAGAAAAATTTTGCCTGATAATGTAGTAATCGATCGGTATATAATATGCCATTGTAGCTATCATAGTTATTTTTCTATGTGAATTATAAGAATATAAAAAATTTCCATTGAAAACCATTGAAAATGTGTACAAATAGAGGCCAATTTTGATGTCATCTTATTATAAACAATATTAACAATTATACAAGTTTTGTTTTTATGAAAAATTAATTAATTATATAAAATAATAAGAATCTAAGAAATTACTTTTTTATATTGTTAATTCTGGTCAATTTAAACTATTGTGTGTTAAAAATGATTGAGTAAATTTTAATTGGCAAGCAAATGAAATTTAGAATTTTATGCGTTTACGACATCTGCTCTTTAATTCGGTTATTTATTTAGAGAAATCCTGAAATACGTGTCCACTTATTTGTCACCTTGAACATTTTGACATATAGAATTTTAAAATCCATCTAGTAGTTTTTAAGCTATACAAACCCTTCGTTCCGTATAATACAGGTAATTTAAAATAAATTATGAAATAGCCAAAGTATACATCACATGTGTGGATAAAACTTCAGTATGTTAACTTTTTTAAATTATATCTAGATTAAAAATAATTGACAAAAGTATAACTTGTAAAAGTCAAAAATTGTGCAAAAAAGCCATTGTTTTTCAATAGAATTTATTTATATTCTTATAATTCACATAGAAAAATAACTATGATAGCTACAATGGCATATTATATACCGATCGATTACTACATTATCAGGCAACATTATTCTAATTGACATCAATATGATTGAATTATCCAGTCAAAAGTTATTCGCGTTTTCCCTACGGAACATTATAGATTGGTTGTGTGTATTAATAATAAGATATTATATATGAAATCAATGTTAAATTTGATGTAGAATTAAAATGTAATAATATCTTAATATAATGAATAGATTTAATATATCACATGTTAGTATTGAATAAGTTTAATTTTCCCGATAAGAGTGGTCACTGCGGTCGAGTACCGATAAAAAGAAACGGCGAGCAAAATCCGCGATACAGATAGCGTGGGAGAAGGCTAGAGACGGTGTAAGTGACTTCAAGTCATACCGCGAGAGATATGTTTAGGCAGTTATGACATGGAGTTTATTTATAAACTATGTAAATATTACAATAAAATTATCATGATGTCTATGCCAATGGTACCAATTATTTCAACAATGTTGTTTATGTACAAAACCTGAGTCACATAAACGCGGACGTTTTAGAACTGTAATAACTTTAACCATAGTTAACTGATTGGATTAATCTATATACCATTTGATAAGTTATTTATGGATGTTTAAAGCCTAGTATTAAAAATTTTTTAATTTAAACCACAACTATATTTAACCGCCGATTCTCTTAGACCACTATCTATACACGTTTTCCACTCTATGTTAAAGTATAGCAATTTTTATAAATTCATATTTGATTATTATCGGTCTTTATAAATATTATCAAGATATAATACGATTATATCAATATGATTTTAACTATTCTGGGTTAGATTTTAAAGTCTAAAATTATAAATAATTTATATAATGAATATTTTAAAAAAAGTATACTTGTATAAACATTTTTGGACTTTTTAATGATAAAACACTACTCTGCAAAACTGAACTAATTTTATTAAAAATAGTTATAACACAATACATCTAGCATAAATAAGTATTAATATAATCTGATTATATCTTGGTTATATTTATAAAGACCGATAATAATCAAATATTAAGTTATAAGCATTGCTATACTTTAACATAGAGTGGAAAACATGTATAGATAGTCGTCTAAGAGAATCGGCGGTTAAATATAGTTGTGGTTTAAATTAAAATTTTTTAATACTAGGTTTTAAACATCCATAAATAACCTATTAAATGGTATATAAATTAATCCAATCAGTTAACCATGGTTAAAGTTATTACAATTTGTATATCGTTTGCATTTAAATGACTCAACTTTTGTATCCATGTCTATTGTATTCAATTTATAATTCATTTTGTAATGTAATACTTATAGGAATACCATATTCATGGATACAAAAGTTGAGTCATTTAAATGCGAACGATATACAAATTGTAATAACTTTAACCATACTCTCTCTCTCTCTCTCTCTCTCTCTCTCTCTCCTAATATAGTAATGAAAAAAATTCAAATATGTTTTAAAACATTTTATATATAAATAAAATTTAAAAATTAATACAATTATGTTTATAAACTAAACAGTATTATTAAGTTTTAAAAATAAAATCACAGAATGAAGTTATTGTCAATCAAACCATATTAGTAGTGCTTTAGAATGTTCTTGTGATGCTCCTAATTTTGGGGATCATCATAAAATTCCATTAAATCGTATTGCACAGGGACCAACTGCTCAGTCACATTCCGTTCCTGTATTGACTCGGTATTGGCTATTCATTAAAATAAGTTTTAAAAATTACTTAAAATACTTGAAACATGCTAAAATACTTACGAATTAGACCAGATTGCACCAAATAAGCGATAATCGTTAAAATAAACAGAACTTCCAAGATTATTGTTACGCGCATTACAGTATTTTTTCTCGTATTTACTTTGCCTCAATATTGTGTAAAATGTAGGAACTTTTATCTCAAATAAAAATTAATTTGTAAATTAAATGGATGTGCCCAGGTGGTTGTTAGTGGCGTTCTGTTTGCTATATGTAATAAAATAGTTGCATAAAAATCAAAATAAATTGAATTTAATAAACTTAGATATTTTTCTTAATGTTATAAAATATTATAGTTTAGTTTAGGTATTAGCCAATAAAAGTAATATTTTGGTAAAAACTTAGTATCATAATAATAATAATAATAATTCTAGAAAATTTTATTCCAAAGTCAAATATCGAGTTTTAGGCATAAAAACCTTAAAAATCAGATATTTCAATTCAAGATATTTTGTCATTGTCTATTTTGCTAAAATATAAATCATGTGACAAAAAAAGGTTTACATGCTGAAAATTGTCGGGAATGAATCTGTGTATATACAATATTATCACTTAAACGGTTCCAGTACAATTGTTAAAACAATTTGGCGGAATTTAAAGGAAAATTCTTATAGATTAGAAGCTTTAGCTATAGATTTCCACAAAAAGAAAAATTCAAATTTTAAGACATTGGTTAAATTGTTTTGAATTCTATGACAATACAAGACATGGAATCTATTGTAAGAAACAATTGAATAGAATCTAAATTATATTTAATAAACATTTATTTGATTACTTAGTAAAACTATTTAATGATTTACCACAATAATGCAATGAATGCTATTACTATTAGTATTTACCCAGCAATAATTCATATAGTTAGCATTCATTAGTCCCATATGATTAACATTATTCGTAACTGAATTTTAGTTAAAATATTGCTATAATAACAATAAAATTTAATGTTTAAATTATTAGATATCATACTTGCTTCATCCATTATTTGAGCATCACCCGAAGTAAAGGTAACTCGTAATTTTTTTGTACAACTTTTGTTAAATAAGTAAACACATAGAAATTTTATAATGCTTTATTAAAATACAAAGGTTACAAGATTATTTAAAGATCAAGGAAGAATAGACAATCAAAATTTTAATTATTTAAATCACCATGATTAAAATAAATTAAAATTATAATTTGGTAATATTTCTAATCCATTGTATATAGAAAGATACGCGGGTAAAAACGCTTGGTAATTGGGTTAGTCCGCAATTTCGTTGCTCCCCATAGGATAAAATACCATTCACGATCCAGGCACCGGTGTCTAGTTGGCAGTTTAGTGGACCGCCACTGTCGCCGGTACAAACCTCTTTACCACGTACTAAATTTTGGGCGCACAATTGCGTATTGGGTTGAAATTTAGCTAGATTAAAAATAAACTCAAATTATAATAATCTACGAAACAAAATATATTAATTATGGATGCAATAATAATTATTATTACTCGTGTACTAATTATGTAAATACTCTATATTTTATCGTATAACAGAGCAAAAAATAAGCAAAATTACAATGTATTCTCTATGGAAGCATATAGGCAAAGCCTACCTTTTTTAGACACTAAGTTCTGGATTAATGAATAAAAAGCACAAAACAATTATATACTTATAATATCTACTGTAAAATTTAATATACAAAGTAATATATAAAGTAAATTTTGTTTTAAATACGGACATTATTAATTAAAATTTTAGAATATTAAATACTAACGAGTCCATTTTTCAGTGCACAAACTATCGTCAACAATTGGCATGGTCATCTGTTGCAATTTGTTTGGCCCGAAGGATGAGGTGCTTGTGGTGCGACCCCAACCTGTGACAACACATTTAGTGCCCACACCACTTTTTATGCCAACGGGTAGGCATATAGGTTGGAGAGAATCATACTTTTTCAAATCGAGAGGTTGGCTTAAATTGAGTAAAGCTATATCATTACGCAATCCTGTTGCAGCTCTGTTAAATCTTTCGTGAACGTATCTCTAGATAATTAAATTTAATTAATTCTGATATAATTTGTTAAATAATTACCTAACTTTAAAATTTGTTTATATAAAAGTATTATAATTATAAACCCTAAAAGGATGGGTTTACGATGCATTAGTCACAGAAAAACATAACTTTAGATAAAATTAATGTTTGATTTATTGCTTTGAACAAAACTTTAAAATTCTTAATTATGAACTAAAAATATATTTACTTTACTTTTTTTGTGCAAATCTAATTCAAATTATTTAAGGGTTTATAATTATAATATATTAAAACAAAAATGAGATATTTGTAGTAATTTGGCTATATTTTTAATTTAATTATATATAAAATCTTAAATGATATTATAATCAAATGATTAATATTACTAACCTCTTTAACTTGAACGGTTAATTCAGTTGTTTCATCAATAGAAAAAGTGGCATTAATTTGGGTGATTTGTCCACCTGGTTGATCAATGCAATGGGCGGCAGTAAGTATCCACTGATTGCTAATCAGTGAACCCCCACATTTCGAACATTTATTAAACGTAGGGAACTTGAAGCATAATTTAAGTCGAACCATCCAAGGCCACTTTCCCAATAAAGCAGTGTCCCCGCCGGATATTTTGGTGCGGACCATAGATTTGCCGCATTTATGCTGCCATCCACCAAACGGTTGACTTGATATATAATGTAACATAAATGTGAATGCGAAATAAAAGAAAATCTGATTAGAAATCTTCATAGTTATTAATTGTATCGATTTGTGTTATTTAAACTACTGATGCAATAATAACTGTTGATTCAACTAAATTGTGATCGCCTTATATATACTGTTAAAATTTTTATTATCAGACATTGATTAATTTAAAAGTTTTTTCATTTGCGTTATAACCATTAATTAATTATGAATTTAAAATTCAAAATAAATGATTTTTAGTACAGTTAATCCTCAATATAAGCAATTTATTAGTTTTATAAAAAAATTTATATACTTTATATTTTATCAAAAATGTCTTTAAACTTACTATTTTATAGTGGTTAGTAAATTTATTGGTCAATAAAGTACATTTGATCCAAAGTAAGGCAACCGTTTGGAAGCGATTTTGCTTGATTTCATAGTTATTAATATAGATGCTATTACTTTTAAAATTCATATTATGCGCCAAAGTTAAAGTCAATCAAACAGAGTGAAATGAATCAGTAGCCAATCAACATTAAGAGAGAAAGTCCTTTCAAAAGTAATAGCATCTATAGTTATTAAAATGTAAAATAAGATCTATTTGTTTACATATATGTCTGTTAGCATTACTCAAAGAGACAAATAAATGACGATATACATCATTATTAGGGCAACCACTTTAGGGGAACTTTAGGGGTAAAAAGTATATATTAAAGTGTAATGCGCGATTTATCATTATTATCGATAGGTCTGTTAGCGTTATCCAAGAGACACCGAACACGGAGGTAGACCTTTGTCTCTCACTATTTGTTTCCGCGGTTTGGTTCCGCCCGTCTCAGGGTTACAGTCCTAGAGGTGCCGACTATCACATTATTATCACTTTTGTCTTTTGCTGAGATTGAGATTGTAAAGACAATAAAAAGATTTTAGGCAATTCTCATCAGTGAATGACTTTCTATTGTCTCGAAAGAATGCTTTGTATTGAGAGAAAGATCTTTCGACTTCACATGTGGTGACCGGGGCTTTAATAAACAATTTTGTATCAAATGGAAATGTATTAGTTTTCTGATTAGAATTGATTGCATTGATTGACTTCATGTCCTCATAACCGGGATTTGATGTTAAGATATCTGTTAAACGAGTTATTGCAAAATTATCATAAATTCTAAATTCTTCAATAATTGTTTCAATTGCTTTCAAACTATCGGAAAGTGTTATATCATTAGATTCTAGTTGTTTAATTAATGCGTTCATAGTTGCAAATTGTATTGCAATTGAATCTAATTGTTTTCTCAATTCGTTGGATTGTGTATTAATAATCTTTTGAGTATTTTCAACGGCTTTAGAAGATAACTCAAGCAAACCAAACACAGGTATAATTTGATCGAAATATTTGGCATAATGTGCCACTGCATTATACCATGTTCCCCAGCGTGTAGGAACAGGCTGTGGCGGTGCGGGAATGTTTGCACAATTGTTTCGATAGATCAGTTTGTTCTTAAAGTTTTTTGTAAAGCATTTCTTACTATTTGAGATAAATTCGTTGACTAAAGGGAATTCATCTCGAATTGATTCCGATACGTTATGGAGTGCGTGATTAAGACAAGTCATGTGAATAAGATTTGGAAACGCAATTTTCAAGTTTTTTCCGGCTTTAATCATATATGAACCCCTATCGCTAAGAAAGAGCACAATCTTTTGGGAAATCAACTCAATTTGAGTGCAATAAAGCATTAGTTTTGCAATAATTGTTTCGTTTACTGTTAAATAATTTGTTTCAGTCAAATACTCTGAACCCAATAAATAATGTTCATCGCATTGGCTGTTAAGAATTCCAATAATAATATTAATTAAATGTCTTCCCGAAGAATCCGTTGTCTCATCCGCTTGAAGCCATAGATAATTATTTAAAATTCGTTTCTTAATTTTGTCTTTGATATCCGATTCGATAGTTTCGGTATAATTTCTTAATGTTGTCTCACATGGCTGTTGTCTTTGTGTGTATTTTTGCAAAAAGGATACAAACTTTTCATTTCTCATCTTATACAAAGGAATATCAGCTCCTAATAAAGCTTTCGCTAAATCATAGAAATATTCATTTTTGTCATCAATTTTTGGCAGTTTTGTTGGAGGCAATGGTGTACTAGATTTCAGTTCTACATTTGTCTTATGTTTAAGCGTTTCGAAGTGTTGTGCGATTTTATCTGCTCTAAAACTCGGAAACTCTTGATCACAAATATCACAATAGAGTTTGTTATCAATTGAAACTAATGGATAGCCAAATCTCTTCAACCGTTTGTTAATTAAATTTGAATTACTATCAGTTTCCATTCGTGGGTCTGTTATTGGGTTTGGTTGAGCCATAGTATTGATTGGAACGGTAACTGCTGGAATCATACAGTCAGACCGCCTCACTAGCTGACAAGACCTCGCAGGGCGTGAGCACCCCGGTTGGCTGCTAATATCGTAATTAGAATTTTCCGCCATCATGGCATTTGCATAACTTTACCGAGAACTTAGCCAGGTATACACCTGTTTCTACCATGACGAACGAAGACGTGTTCTCGTTACGGAAAATATTTAGTTATGCAATTAATGTTTATAATTATTATTGAATTATGTTCTACTGAATTGAAGTTATATTTAAATATTTATACAATAATATTCTTGAATGGGATACGCAATGACACAGGCTTTGTCGGACCTAACTTTCAACTTAAAGGCTTATGCAGTTTCTCACTCGCCATTAACGTAAAGACTTAAGAGCTTATGGAGAGAACACTCCCCGGCTTGGACGAGTTTCCACCCGCCATTAACGTAAAGACTTAAGAGCTTATGGAGAGAACACTCCCCGGCTTGGACGAGTTTCTCACCCGTTATTGATGTGTTGTGTTTTCAATGTTTTGCACAGAGTGTTGCATTTGTCATGAAAACAAATAAATGACTCATACTGCAATATACATAAAAATCATGACTGGTTGGCTTAATCATTATATAGTTTAAACAAGAATCACACAGCGATGCTATACGTTAACCACAATTGGGGTATTACTCAAAAGATAGATAGTATATAGATATTGCGTTTAAGAATTGTATTTTTAAAGCATTTTTAAATGAATATAATTTTTCAAAATTTTCATTGTTATTTCAGCTTATTGTTTGTATTTTCAAAATTTTCTAATGTTATTGTTGATAAGTTGTTATGTCATAGACTTAAGTCATAATCTTATAGAAATCCATTATAAAGCATTAGTCTCAGAGACTTAGCATTACCCAAAAAGTTAGCATTGCCTTAGACATAACACTGTCCATAGGATTAGCATTAGCTCCATAGACCTAACATTGCCTATAGACTTAGCATTAGTCTATATACTAAGCATTACCTACACTCAGTTCCAAAGGTATTGAGGCAAACGTTTGGTATTAGTACAGAGATACTACTTGAATTAGATCATCAAACTTTTCACTGTTGTATAATTTAATTATCCAGTTATTAATCACATTAAAGTATTTTTTAAAATAATGATCAGTAAATAAATTTTTAGTTGTTTTAGAAAACGTCCCGAAAAAAACTTTTTTA